CATCAGAGCCAGGGACCTAAAAAGGCTCAACAACCTGATGAAGAAGAGTTCTGTTCTGGGGACGACTGTGGAATCTCTGGAGATGATGGTGCAAAGAAGGATTTTACATMAAATCAAGAACATTGTGGACAACCCTGACCATCCTCTTCATCAGACTGTCATAGAAAAACAATCTTCAGTCAGGGGCTCCTTCAGTTTGGTTGTAATACAGACCGCTACAGAAGATCTTTCCTGCCCACAGCCATCAGCATCTACAATAAGTTTTTAGTTTAATGAGTTACCTAATTTCCCTCTGGGACCAATGAAGTATTTTTGAATTTTAACTGAACTGAATTGAATTATTTGTTCACAAGTTTGTCCCAGTTAAAGCTCCACGGTTTTGGCAGACAGATTCCTCTGTGCACAACATCTGTTTTGCCTCCATCCACAAGGTTTTGGCCGTCTTTATAAATGTCTGCTTCCGGGTAAAACAGTCTGGAAGCAAGTTGAAGCAAAATACAGCATCTGAGTGCTTTCAGCATAAACAAACACTCCTGCAGCGGAGAACAAAATGATGGAATTTTTGTCACGAAACAGCAACAATCCGATCTGATTTAAGCAGTTTGGTTGGAGCATGCTGGGTGTTCAATGAGCTGAGGTGGTCAGAACACACGTCGGTAACGTTATGGGGCATCTTCTGAAAGAGCCTAGAAAGGTATGTCCCAGTTTTCGTAGCCATCTTGTGGACTTTTAGTGCTTCACCTCACGTGACTCAACATCATAATTTTTATATTCTATCACCATATTGCAATACCGCGGTATAACAAAAATACCTTCATACCGACCAAGCCTAGTCATCTTGACCTTGAAATCAATAAGGATCACTTTTGACCAATGAGGTGTCCATCTATACAGATTGTCATTTCTGTGTTAAAGGGTTATCAATTTAGAGGCCAGACAAGAAATTTCCCACTGACAGATGACAGAATACCATAATATAGAGAATATACACTCACCGGCCACTTTATTAGGTACACCACGCTAGTAACGGGTTGGACCCCCTTTTGCCTTCAGAACTGCCTCAGTTCTTCGTGGCATGGATTCAACAAGGTGCTGGAAGCATTCCTCAGAGATTTTGGTCCATATTGACATGATGGCATCACACAGTTGACGCAGATTTGTCGGCT